GAAGAGGTATTTGCTTGCTTGCTTAAGCTGATGGCGGGGTGGCGGGGGGTTGGGGGGGGTTACAAACATGAATAAAATGTTGATTATGAATTGCTTAGCATCTAATAGTGAAGTCAAAACCATTCTCATACGCCTTGAAGAATTAGATTTGAACTTTTTTCTGAGTATGAAAATGATAAAATGATTGGATCGTTCACTTGGTTTCTTAAAACAGCATGGTTCTTCCTGCTGTTTACTATTCAAACACTTAAGAGTCTTTTGGTAAAATATGAAACATCATCAAATTGATTTCCTCGGGTAAAATCCTTCCAAAATACAATTTGGCATGACAATTTAACTTTACCCAGTGCTACATATATGGGAAAACGTGATCGTTAGTTTACAAAAAAAAACAAGGAGTCAGGTATGCACTCTACTGAGCATATTGGCTTTTACCGTGCTTTACATATTTTAAACTAGTAACTTCCAAAATCAAAATCTTGAATTGCAAAGTTAAGAAAGCTATTTATTTTGTCAACGAGAAGATACAAATTTATTCTTGATGTTGGTTGCGGGTACTAACAGCAGTTTCAGGTCTGTAATCACCATGATTTGTTGTTAACGTAAGTTTTGCCACAGACTATTGAATGTCTCAGATATTTTGCTCAGATATTTGCCATTGTAAACACCTGGCTGGAAAACAGCTATGGACTGGGGGTTAAAAGTTTGAGCCAGTATTTAACCCATCTCAAAAGAGAGATGGAGACTATTTGCAGATGGTGTTGCCAATGGGCATTTCCCGCAGCACATTCTGCTCGCGAAAGGTGTACCAGAACGACGGGTACCCCAGAACGCAGGGTCGTGGGCTGAGGTACCGTCCTCACCAGCCTTTTAACTAAGGCATGGTAGCTTCTCCTCGCCATGGCATTCAGCTCTGGACATACTTCCATGTGGCACTTAAATCACGAAGGCGGTCACTGAGCTTTTCAACAATGACAGTCTTCATCAGAACTGTCTATGACATCAACTGGGCGTAAAACAAGTTCTCTCTATTTGCTTTAATAAAGCAAAAAAGTAATAGTGCGAGCATTTCCCAAAGTAATGGATGTACGTGCAAAACTTCCGGTTATGTGTTCTGAGGCGGGGAGGGAGTGGTCACAGGAAGAGGTCTTACTTTCAATAGCCACGTACTTCTGCCCTTTTTGAGTTCCAAATCCAAGTGTGTCCAGTATGCCCGCAATACTACAGCAGGAGATCTAGCTTAAAATGAAACCAGCCTCTGTACTGGTTTAAGACACAGTTTTAATTTTAAGACAATTATTAGAAAGTAGTCACTAATTCGGAAGTGCGGGAGACATCAGGGCAGCAGAACAGAAGGGTGGGATGGAGTCAGCCCTGTGGAATGCTGGACACAGAGTAATACCCACAGTTCTAAAATTCACTTTTATTGTAGAACATTAATACTCATGTACCTGCTAACCCAGTGATAATTCCTAAGCTTAGTAGTTCACAACCGTTTTAGAAAGCACATAATATTAACATTCAAATAAAGCATCGTAGAAACTTTTGTAAAGAAATGCTTACTATTTTTAAAAGCCTTGGTCCATTCTGAAAGATTAACGTTGAATTTTTAAAAATCGAAAGAGAAGAGTTTCTCCCTACAGAATAAAGAACAACTTGCTGGCATGTGTATTTTAAGCGCCTGGAATAAAATGGGCCAAATGTTCACAGGCAGTTAACCGCTTGTACGAGGACTCGTTTCGTTGGACTCAGCACCAGGTAAAATAAGAGTAAATGTGCCCTTGAAGATGTGGTTGGGTTTCCCCTCCGCCTCATCGCCCCGCTCTTCCCAGCAGGCCACGGGACAGAAGCGTGCATCCTTGCTGCCCCGCTAAGAAACCAAATTGTCATCACTCTTAGATGGCTGCCCAGCATGCAAACACAGTTCTCCTGCCAGACGACGGGGCAGCAGGGAAAGCGAGGTGTCCGCTTCTCTGATGAACAAAGAACTTCAGCAAACTCAGTTACCTTCCCGGTCCTTTTCAGCCTTTCAGGTAAATCCTTCTTAATTGCTACACCTGATTACTAATTAGGATTGTTCCCTCTGTCAAGGGAATGCTCCCCAGGCACACCTGTTCCTACTTCCTGATGACCAAGTATGCTTACTTCACTTCGGGCCGTGGCTTTGCTTTTCTTTTTGTACTTTAACTGGTTACTCTTCACCCAGAGGTTACACACTGATCAGAAGCTGGCAAGTAGGTCATATTTCTGGCAAGTAGCACATATTTCTTAACCTGAGTAACACCCAGAAACATAAGACTGTAATGACATTTTCTGTGGACAATTCAACTTCGGTGCTTCTGCAAGAACTTCTAGGGTCCCTTTCTAACATTTTCCTCAGGACACGTATTCTCAAAAGACAACATGTCATAGGAAAGTAGTATTTTCCTATATGCTAGTTTAATACAATTGTATAGCAGACTGAAAATTCTGAGTAAACTGAAGGTATGTTTAACGACAAAATAAATACAGCAAAAATGGCTATGCTTGTAAGTTTCTTAGTATAAAGGCAGCAGTGAATTTGCATCCTGAAACATGCGCGTTTCCAGTTGTTTTCTGGAATTTGATAGACCTAGTGTCTCACAAAACCATGTACCATAATGCTAGTGATGCCGTTTTTTGGGCAACAGTCTACGCAAATTTCTCTGATGAGATACTTTCCAGAGTGACGTGGAATTTTTTTTATTAGCTTTTCCAGAAAAATAAAATTTGTATCACTTGCTCTTCTGAACAAAACTTACGTTATTTCCGATTGCTCTTTTAATTATCCTTTAGACAAATTTTCAGAAGTTAAGACATATCTGATATTTTTTAATTGCATGCCCATAGAAGATAAGTGGATAAAACACATTGGACGGAAATATAAATCTTCGTCATTGGACATATCCTTAATTTCCAGAATAAAATCAGTACAACTGAAACTAATACAATTTTCAAAAAAACTCATACATGGCAGGCTGCGGACGAGGAGCCCCTGCTCATCTTACTGGTTTTATGCACTTTTCCTCATGGAGTAACTGATGCTTTCTGGTTTACTTGTGGAACCCTTGTTTGTAGGAAAGCATAGACATAGGGCCAGATCTTGTTGGTTTCTGTTCCGGAGAATGTTTCCAACACCCCCTTTTTCCTAAAGATGACAAACAGAAAAACACAGGTCTGACTCTTCCTAATGAGCTTTTTCAAAGTGATTGTTGTTGTTGTTTTCTTTTTTTAAATGTTGATTTATTTTGAGAGAGAGAGCAGGTTCTGACACGGACCTCAAACCCATGAACCATGAGATCATGACCTGAGCAGGAACCAAGAGTCAGACGCTTAATGACTTAGCCACCCAGGTACCCCTCAAAGTGATTCTTCAAAGATGATGATGTGAGGGGCGCATGGCTGGCTCAGTCGGTAGAACATCCAACTCTTGATCTCAGGGTGGTGAGTTCAAGCCCTTGAGGGGTAGAGTTTACTTAAAAAAAAAAAAAAAAAGTGGATTTAGGGGTCTCAGTTAGTAATCTGTGATCCAGAGAAAGAGGCATTGGCTTAGCGTTGGTAAACCTAGATTTTAGTTTCAGCTGTGCCCTCTGGCTTATGGAAACAGTCACTTGAAAAACAGTAGCACTTATTTATTGAGTATGTGCTCAGTGTTTTAAATATACTGGCTCACTTAATCCTTTCTGGAGCTCAGATTCCTTTTGTTACTGACACAACTGTGTGTTTAGAAAGTAACAGCCCAGATCACACACGGAGTAGCTCCCCAACACGGGGCCTGTCAGATACCTTTCCTTGCCTCTGTCTACTTCCCCACTTGCAAAACTGCTGTCTAATACTTGCTTGTGCTTCCTTCTTTTTGCCTAGTTTTATTTCTTCCTCTATGCTATCCTTTCACATTTTAGAGGAAAAGGGAATACAAAGTTTTTATTGAGCTTCCTATTGTGTTTCTCCATTTTTCCCCAGGCAGATTTGTCTGGCTTGCCATCAGACCAGCAGCCAGTGTCTGTTTACTCCTGGGGGTGAGATCAGAATCCCAGGGTTGCTCCTCAAAAGACAGACTCCCTCCAGACATGCTGGCATTCCTCTCTTTGCTTACCCTCCTCCTGCAACCCACAGGCACACAGTGTCTTCAAGGCTGAACCCTGCTTTCTTCCTGAAAACGGGATCATCGTACCTCTGCAACCTTTCACCTGGTTTTCAGAGGCTTCCCTGGGGACAAAAGCATTCCTCTCTCGATACCTCATACAATTGGCCAGAGTTAAGACTAACTTTGAGTAATTCCCACTGTTTTCTTGGTTAAGAAACATCTGCTAAGGAAAGACACTATGCAAATAGTGTAGTCTCTGCATATTAGAAGCCCTCCTAAATTCACAGGCATCTTGTCAAGCTTTCAAGAGAACAAGCTTCTTCACTGCTGTGGCCTCCTGAATCAAGCCAGTGTTACAAGTGAGTTAATTACTGAGGGCACAAGTGCAGGCACCTATTGTATACAACTGTATACAATCCTAAAGTTGTACCTTGGATGAACATGTGCCCTTTTAATTTCTATGTAATAAAACCTGCTTCAACTGTAGGTCCTTTACAGAGTAAGAACATAAAGCTGTTTGTTAACACAGACCTAATTACTCTGTAAATGTCCCACTGCTGAAAGAGTTTTAAAAACAAATACAACTGTCAGTATTTAAAATATCAGTGCAGGGGCACCTGGGTGGCTCAGTCGGTGAAGCATCCGACTTTGGCTCAGGTCGTGATCTCGTGGTTCGTGGGTTTCTGTGCTGACAGCTTGGAGCCTGGAGCCTACTTCAGATTCTGTGCCTCCCTCTGTCTCTGCCTCTCCCCTGCTCATGCTCTGTCTCTTTTTCTCTCTCAAAAAATAAATAAACATTAAAAAAAATAAATAAAAATATCAACGCATATTGATATTCCATATACTACTCTTAGTTTTTGGTTAAGTCCAGCCCTAGTTCTGCATGCAGGCGTTTAGAAGGAAAAGCTTCAATTAATGGCAAGAGGTAGCAAAAGCCGGAAGCCTGGAAAGACCAGGTTTATCTCCTAAGACAGGGACCTGGATCCTTATGTTTCCTCTCTGCAGCTTTCCCGACCCCTCTTCCCACATCGGGAGAGAAGTAACCGGTGGTTACCTCTGCTTACTTTTGAGTGAATAACAAAACCCCTTTTGGGAAACACCACCTTCACCAAACCAGGTCCATGCGATTTGGGTGGGACTTTCCCCACTTCCCAGCTTCAAGAATGGACGTGACCAGGGCCAATCAGTGCCGACCAGAGGGCTTTTGCTGCCAAAGACGCTCTCTTTTCTGCTCAGTAGCTCAACTGGTAGGAGATAAGCTGGGGTGTTGAGAGGCTCACGGAGGGACAGCCCACCTGAGATCGAAGCCGCCAACATGGAAAAGTAGAGCCAAGTGTGACCGAGGCCTGAGGACACTGTGTGAACACTGGACACAGGAACTATCGTTGGACCTTGTGGTTACAATACATTCCCCTTTTGCTTAAAGTTAGTGTGAATTAGGTTCCTGACTGATAGCAGCACACAGCACGTTGTACGGTAACCACGATCTACCCAGCTCTCAGCCTCCCCCACATATGGCAGATACAGCTTCCTGGGGGCCCGGCCTTGATCCGTGTGGACCAAAGTTTGGCACGGTGTCAACAGAGGGAATAATAATAGCAGCTACCACTGAGTGATTTATTAGTGCCAGGGCCGCGGGAAGTCTTCATGTGGATTCTCAGTTCCCTTAATAACCCTGTACGGTAGGTACCATCTACTATTGCTCTGACTTGACACACACAAAGAATGTGTGCCACAAAGGCTGAATGCCTTGCCCGGGGCCACACACGCACAGCTGGTAACCAGAAGAGACAAGCTCATTCTAGGAACCACGGAGTTATGGGTAACAGCGACCCCAGAAAGTGCCCTTGTAATTTCGCCCTCCAGAAAGTACTACTAGAATAGTCTGGAGACTGCTGCTTCCGATTTCGCTGCGTACCTGCCCCATTACAACAACACCACTGATTACACAGGGTTTACTATGGGTCAGACACAATCCTAGGAGTTACACTAACTCACCCTTTCGGCCCTTTATTCTTACCCCCATTTAAGCAAGAGGTGAAGACCAGGTGAATAAACAACGAGCGGGGATGTGAACTTGGGGAGTCTGGCTCCAGAGTCTGCTCCAACCACAACACTGTGCTGTCTTGACTCCGAAGCACCGTTTAGGTAGTGCGTGTGTGAAGGGAAAGGGGATGGGAAGGATCCCTCCTCCATAAGCAGAGGGAAAGCCAGACTAAGGAGACTGGGTCACAGATTTATCCAGGAGAGTTCCCGTAGGTGTTGTGGGATAGGAACTTCCTGAAGAGCGGACGGAACTGTGTGAGAACATAAGCTTTCGAAGACTGTGAGCCAAACGAAGGGATAGGGAGCTGCCTGAAGCTTCCATGCGCCCTCCAGTGGCACAGGTGGCGGGCATTCCTGGACTCGCAGCCCCAGCGCTCACGGCAGCCCACCCTTTACCTGCCAGCAGAGTTGGGGCGACGTCGGTCCACTCCGAGCTCCACGTGGGGACCGGCCAGTCTCCTCCCTCCCAAGCAGGGGCCGGCTCCAGAACGAGAGGTCACCTAAGCCTAAAACAGTCGGTGCAAGGTGCTCCCTGACCACAGTGGCTGCTCAAATTGGTGCAGTCTTCACGACGTGTGGGGCTTTTGTCCACTGGGGGGAAAGCTGACCCCTCAGCCCTCCGTGAAAGAGGACGCCCTGCCTGTTTCCTGGCTACTGTGTGTGAGCACGCGGGGAGTCTAAGGACAAAGCCCACAGAAAGCTGGGAGAATGCCAACATTCTGTCCAGACCTCGTGGTGACCGAAGCCCAGCCTATCTCCGGGACTTCTCTGTTACACAGGCTACATTTCCCCCTTACCGTTCAAACCAGTTTGAACCGGATCTTCTGGTATGTTAGCATTCCAGCTGGAAAGCATGGGTTAACTGAAAACCGACTTGGTGTTTCATCACGCAAGAGAAGCTCTGAAGAGCGACAGACTCACTGGTAATATTCCAGGACCGGCTCTGTTTGGGCTTCGTACGCCTTCAGTCTCTTGACAACTGTCTCTGGTTTATCGTCCTCACGCTGAATGAGAGGCTCTCCAGTAAGGTCATCAATGCCCTATGGAAGAATTAGGAGAGGCTGGTACCAAACATCTCCGTTTTGAAGCATAGTTTTATAAGCAGCTAAGTGATTTTTAAACATCTGTATGCTACTACCAAGCACAAAAGCGTGCTTTTCAGTAAACAGAAGCAAATCCAAACATAGATCGTTTTGCAGCACAGGGCCACGAGACCCCAGGATCATCTCCAGCCTCTAAATAATTTCGTACGTACACAAAATGAATCAGCTATAGACTGGGAATCTCAACTGCAAACCCTCTCAAGTGGTCACTAATCCTTATCACCCCAACTCCTAACACACCGCCTGGCACATAGTAGGAAATCCACAAATACTTCTGAATGAGTACCAAGCCCCCTGTCGCTCCTGGGGACTCCTTTCCCAACAAGCTGAGTGGACTGGACTCGTCCACTGCGCCAAGTGACCCCAGAGCGTCCCCCTGGAGCTTTGGTCAGGCGTCACAGAACTTCCGTCTGTGAGGGCAAGAGGAATCAGAGACCATCTGCTCCGTGAGAGGCCGGGCCAGTGCCACCACAGCCACTCACCACGGTTTTGGGAGGGTTGAACTCAATGTTGTAGACTCGGCCGCTGGCGGGATGAATCCAGCGAGCAGTGAGACGCTGCTTAATGACCTCAAAGGGCACGTTCAGATTAATCACCGTGTCTATCTGATAAGCTCTGTCCAGGGCTTCTGCCTGTGGAAGTGTCCTTGGAAAACCTTTACAAATTCAACAACAACAATGACAAAAGAATAAGGGGAGGAAGGGAGTGGGGGAGGAGGAGAGAGAAGGAAGAGGATTCATTAATGTTGAACAGTCCGAAAACAAAGCAAGAATACCAGGCAGGCTGATCACAGCTGTAGGGCAATTGGGATGACGGTTAATTCTGTGAGTCAACTCGCCTGGACCATGGGGTATCCGTACACTTGGTCAAGTGTTACCCTGGGTGTGTCTGAGAAGCTGTTTTGGGACAAGAGTAACATTTAAGTCAGCGGGCTAAGTGAAGCAGACTGTTCCCCTGATGTGGGTGGGCCTCGCCTAAGCCACCCAAGGCCTGAACAAACCTAAAGAGCTGACTCTCCCCTCCAAATAAGGGGGAGTTCTTCCTGCCTGCTTGCCTGCCCTGGAGTTGAGACTGAGACCTCGGTTTTTTCCTGCCTTCGACTCAAACTGAGGCCAGCTCCTCCTGGCTGTCAAGCCTGCTGGCCTTCAGACTGGAGCCAGATCGCCCATCGGCTCTCTTGGGTCTCTGCACGCTCACCCTGAAGATCGTAGGACTCTTCAGCCTCCATCATCATGTGAGCCAATTCCTCAAAATAAATACCTGTCTCTCTCTCTCTCCCACCCCCCCAGACCCGAGTATCAACCTACCCTCAAGGATTCCACCACACCTCTTGCTCGGGAAAGTTCACAGCTGGATTGTAAATTACTCTCCACCGTTCCTTCTCCCTTTTGTCGTGACCCTCCCTCACCATAAAATATTCTCGAAGGAGGGGGAAGGAACACGTCACATCTAAAGGGAGCACAGAAATCGTGTAGTCCACTTCTGTTGTTCCCTTCAGATGAACAAGCAGGTCCAGAGAAGACGAGTGGCCCAAGTCTTCAGGGTGCTGGATGGCGGCATTCAGGCCCCCTGCCCACCAGACGTGCGTCCATAGCCACGAAATGCTCCTTCTCTGCCCACGCTCCTCACTCTGGACAGCTGAGGTGCTCCCAACACCACTTACCGTCCAACAGCCAGCTGCACTGAGTGAGGTTTTTCAGCTCGTGTAGAGCCAGCCGAGTCATGACATCATCTGGGATGAGCTTCCCTTGGTCAATGAAAGTCTTGGCTAACACGCCGATTTCTACAGCAGAGGAGGGAGACGAAACCTATCAGCAGGTGTATTTGTTTTATCCCATTCCAGACCCCCTAGGAAACCGCTAAAGAGGACCTCTGGATAGCACACTCATATGATAATGTGCATTGTCAACAGAATTGGAAAATAATCTACACCTATTTCAAATTCTCTATTATATAAAAATATATAAATGCAAATGTACAGACAGAAAAAAAAAAAATGGAAAGCCACTTGCAACTCGTTAATAGTAGTCCTCACTGGCGCCTGGGTGGCTCAGTTGGCTGAGCATCCAAGTCTGGCTTGGGCTCAGGTCCTGACCTCACGGTTCGTGAGTTTGAGCCCCGAGTCGAGTTCTCTGCTGTCGGTGCAGCACTTCAGATCCTCTGTCCCTCTCTCTGCCCCTCCCCTGCTTATTCTCTCTCAAAAATAAATATTAAACAAAAAATAGTAGCCATCTCTGTGTGATATAAGTGATTTTTGTACATATTTACACTATTGGGTATTTTATAAATTTTCTATCAGAAAAAAAAATAAGAATAATAGAAATTATTTTTTAAGTTTATTGTGAGAGAGAGAGAGTGCGGGAGGGGCAGAGAGAGCTGGAGAGGGAATCTCAAGCAGGTCCCCACTCAGTGTGGAGCCCAATGTGGGGCTCAATCTCACACCTATGAAATCAAGAGCCACCCAGGTGCCCCAGAAATGATTTCCTTTTTATTTTCTTTTATTAATTTATTTTAATGTTTTAATGTTTTTTTTTGAGAGAGAGAAACAAGCAAGGGAGGGGCAGAGAGTGGGGGGGGGAGACAGAGGATCTGAAGTGGGCTCTACATTAATAGCATACAGCCCAGGGGTGCCTGGGTGGCTCAGTCAGTTGAGCTTCCGACTTCCGCTCAGGTCATGATCTCACAGTCTGTGAGTTCGAGCCCCATGTTGGGCTCTGTGCTGACAGCTCAGAGCCTGGAGCCTGCTTCAGATTCTGAGTCTCCCTCTCTCTCTGACCCTCCCCCATTCATGCTCTGTCTCTCTCAGTCTCAAAAATAAACATTATAAAAAAAAATTTAATAGCAGACAGCCCCACGTGGGGCTCAAACTCACAAACCGTGAGATCATGACCTGAGCTGAAGTCAGATGCTTAACCACTGAGCCACCCAGGTGCCTCTATTTATTTTTTTGTTTATTCATTTATTTTGAGAGAGAGAGAATGAGACTGTAAGCAGGGGAGGGGCAGAGAGAGAAGGAAAGAGAGAGTCCCAAACAGGCTCTGCACTGCCATCACGGAGCCCGCTGCAGGGCTCAGTCCCACGAACCGTGAGATCACGACCTGCACTGAGGTCAAGAGCTCGACGCTTAACCAATGGAGCCACCCAGGCACCCCTAAAGTGACCCAGCTTTTTAGATGAACAGACTATAATGTTCATAAAAGTAAAGGTTTGGTGTGCTAGTTGCTTTTCAAATATACTTTGAAATTAAAAAATCGTGTCTACCTAAAATTATTTCTTGAATGTCAATACCGCATAAGTGTGTTTAACTGGCGCTCGAGGAGACCTGAGTGTTCATCCTGATCTCCCAGCAACTGTTGTTTATTAATGAGCGAATTCTTCAACCTCTCCTGAACTCAGTTTCTCATCTTTAAGTGAGAAGGCTGGCCTAATGTCTAAGGGTCAGATTCAAGTCTCCTGACTCCAGGGTCAGGGCTGGCCCACCATTACTACAGGTTTGCTACTGTCAACAGGTTGTCTTGTGTCTCCAGGGTCCTTATCACATCCTCTGGGCTGATTTTAAACTTTTTAAACTTTAGCTATAGGGGCGCCTGGGTGGCTCGGTCGGTTAAGCGTCCGACTCTTGATTTTGGCTCAGGTCATGATCTCACGGTTCCAGAGTTCAGGCCAGGCGTTGGGCTCCATGCTGACAGCTCACAACCTGCTCAGGATTCTCTCTCCCTTTCTCTCTGCCCCTCCTCTGCTCACACGGTCTCTGTCTCTCTCAAAATAAATAAACTTTAAAAAATAAAAATGAACTTTAGCTATCGATGACAGCTGTAGGTTATAAAACACAGCACCCTCAGGGCGCCTGGGTGGCTCAGTCGGTTAAGCAGCTGACTTCGGCTCAGGTCGTGATCTCGTGGTTCGTGGGTTTCTGTGCTGACAGCTCGGAGCCCGGAGCCTGCTTCGGATTCTGTGTCTCCCTCTCTCCCTGCCCTTCCCCCGCTCATGCTCTGTCTCTCTCTCTCTCTCTCTGTCTCAAAAACAAATAAACATTAAAAAAAAACTTAAAAAACAAAAACAAAAACACAGCACCCTCATGAAATACCATATTTATAGAAACTCCACAACAGGGACTTGCTATTGGAAGGACACAAGTATAGGCAGAGATGCTACGAAACATTCGTGTACAAGGATAGTCGTAATGGTATTTATTATGGCAGAGAATGGTTAACAACCTAAGTGTCCAAATAACAGGGAAATGTTAAAAAATATATCATTCTTAAGACCGCTTCGTGGCATGTAAGCATGCTCAAAGTAAGTGAGAAAAAAAGGTATATAAACAATCATTTAGAATGCAACAATTTTGCAAATACAATAGAACCTTGGACTGCACGTAACTTGTTCCGAGAGTGTTCCGCAAGACGAGCAAACATTTCTAATGAATTCTAACTTGATAAACGAGCGAGGTCTTGCAAAACGAGTAGTATATGATGCCAAACGTCACATGATCACAATTGCACCCATGTTTCTTGAAATTCACTTTGATATATGAGTGCTTTGAATCGCAGGCATGTTTCTGGAACAAATTATGCTTGCAAACCGAGGTTTTGCTGGACATACAAATGCAACAGAGAAAAGAGAAAGAAAAAAACACATAAGGCACTAAAGGATTAATTACAATTGTATCTGGGTGTTGTAATTAGGAGGATTTTAATTTTCTTTTGTATAGTCTCGTGACGTGTTTTTCTTCCTTTATAGTAAGTATAGTTCACTTCTAGTTTTTTTCAATAGGAGACAACACCTCTTTTCTGGCTCTGATCCTGTGGGAAAGATCCAATCACACACACAAAAGAGAGAAAGAGAGAGAGAGGGAGAGGAAGGAGAGAAATATTCAAAGAGAAAACTATTAGAAGAGAAACATTTTTATTGAGAATATGTTCTTAGTCCTGAGATACTGAACATCTGTAATAACAATCTCCTGAACGCCTCCTTAAGCTCCACTTTGTTTTCTTTGGTAAAGAACTGTCCTTTTTAAAGACTTATTAAAAATGAGCAGGTACCTGAGGCAAGCTGGATGCCTTTTCCCATGATGCTCTCTCCCCTCCCTCCAGCCTCCTTTCTCCCTGTGGAGCCAGAAAGAGGACAGCAGGCCCGTCAAGGGATGTTAAGGATACACAAAGAGCAATGTTTCTTCATTTTGAAAAAAAAGTTTACAATTAAGTAAAGCCAATTAAGGCTTTAAACTTAACTTTAAAAAACCTTTTATGTTTTCACAAATTAAGGTAACTTGAACTCTCTGCTGAAGGTGTTCTTTAAACACATCGTTACACCTCACTGCTCCAGTTATTTTTCAGAGGCCCCCTTAAGGATTATGCCTTCCTACTTTGGATAACCTTACCCCCACTGGTGTGCCATTCTGGAGGCTGTATATTGTTACCTAACTACTGAAGTATGTTGCATCAAGAACATTTAGCAAGCAGGCCAAGCAATTTAACCTTATTTAGAAGCGTTAACTAATGACAAAACATTTTGTATGTTTTAAAGGATCAACGTTAGAAGAGAAAAATGAAAACAGCAATTCGCCAGACTAGGTGCTGAACAGAGAAATCCAAGAGAACTAAAAACATTGAGGTGGTTGTTTTTCTTCCCGTATTTGTCTGCATTTTGAAGCAGACAAAAATCCCACCTAAAAATAAGCTAAATGCTCATCAATAGGGGATTAAACAGACTTAATATTCAGCAAATAGATACCTAAGTAAGCATTACAAGAATGAAACAGACTTTTATGTTTTGATGTGGAAAAACATCCTAGATATAAAGTGAAAATACACTGGTGCAGAATACATACACAGTATGATTGCATATTTCATAAAATAAGAGATATGAAGGTTATACACACACCTATATACACGCATACCTATACACACGTATATGTGTGTTATACACACACATTTCCTTTTTTTTTTTAATTTTTTTTTTAACGTTTATTTATTTTTGAGACAGAGAGAGACAGAGCATGAACGGGGGAGGGGCAGAGAGAGAGGGAAACACAGAATCAGAAGCAGGCTCCAGGCTCTGAGCCATCAGCCCAGAGCCCGACGCGGGGCTCGAACTCACAGACTGCGAGATCAGATCATGACCTGAGTTGAAGTCGGACGCTTAACCGACTGAGCCACCCAGGCGCCCCTACACACACATTTCTAAAAGGAAACACGAGATCCTGTTCCCCTGTGAAGAATGGGGCTGAGGCAGGAAATGAGAGAAGATTTTACTTTTCATTTCATGTACTTCTGTCCTTTTTCCAATTCTTCTTTTACCTCTGTAGGCATTACTTCAATAATTTTTTAAAAGCAGGTTCAGGGGCATGTGGGGCGCCTGGGTGGCTCAGTCGGCTAAGCATCCAACTCTTTAAAAACTTTTTTTTGTTACTGCTTATTTTTGAGAGAGACACAGTTTGAGTAGGGAAGGTGCAGAGAGAGGGGGAGACACAGAATCTGACACAGGCTCCAGGCTCCGAGCTGTCAGCACAGAGCCCGATTCGGGGCTTGAAGCCGGGAACGGCGAGATTATGACCTAGTCTGGAGTCGGGCGCTCAACCCGCTGAGCCACCCATGCATCCCAGCATCCAACTCTTGATAAGGGCTCAGGTCATGGTCTGTGAATTCCAGCCCTGAACTGGGCTCTGTGCTAACAGTGTGGCCCTGCTTGGTATTCTCTGTCTCTCTCTCTCTCGAGCACTTGCTCACTCTCTTCCAAAAATAAATAGATAAAACTTTAAAAAGATGAATGTGAAAAGGAGGT